AGGGACAGGGACAAAAACCAAAAGATAGGCCACGCAATATGCAGTGCTTCACTGGGGGTCACTGGCAAGAATAAAACTCAAATTAAAGTGCTGCTGATGTGTTTTGGATTAAGGCCCATTCTGCGTGAAGATGATCAGTCTATTAACGCTTACATTCAGTCTGCCCATGTTGCAGTGCCTAGTGATCTGCCTCCTGTGCTCCCGTTTCTCCTGATCAGTATGTTGGTGGCCACCTGACTGGCAAAACAAAAGTTTGCGTGGCTTTCTGTTTGCTTTGAGGAAGATTTCTTTAGTATAGCTTAATCCCTGATTATTTGGAAAGAAGCTGCCTAAAGTTCGTGACCCCCCACAGGTTTTCCAATTAATTATAAAACAGGATTATAGGACCTGGTAGAAAGTCTCAAACAGGCTTCATCCCCTTGTACACTGAAACACTGATTTAATGAACTACAACACACTTATAATCTCTGTAGTCATTGTTTTGGTATTTGCAGAGTACTACTTTGCTTCATTGTCCCTGATTTCCCTCCCATTATGAGATAAGCTCTCCACCAAAGCAACCTTGCTCTTAGGAGATGGGCTCACGTGGGGGTTTCTCTACACAAAGTCCTCTTAGCTTCTCTGCTTCCTGTTTGTTTTGTATTTTGTCACATGTATCGTGTCACATCCAGTGAGCAAACACCAAATTTAAGGAAGATCAAGGCAGCTGAGGAGCCAGTGGCCTGTTAGGTGATTTCATCATGTGTAAATTCAGGCATAGTTAGAAGAGAGTACACCCTCGAGTCTTCATTGCTCCCAGGGGCAGTATGTGTTACCAAAACTGCTCACAAATCAGCAGGTAGAGGAATGACGCATGTGCTGGCTGAAACTCGGATAGAGCCAGGGAGGAGCAAAAGCAGGAATCTGGGGCTGTGCTAGAGACCTGTGCACATGAGGACACCTTCTGAAATTACCCCTTTCCTGGTGATGCTAAACTTACATCCTGGAGGTGTTGGAGGAAGGACTTCAGAGCAGTCTTTTTTACTAGCCACAATAAGCTGTACCTTCTTTGCTTTCTCCAGGCTCCAAGTGTTCTATGTGTTCAAAATGGTGAAAGGCATTATCTGATTTAAAATAGTTGGTACGTTTCATCTCCCAAGGCCTTCTGTTGGAAAAGTGTGGAATATTCTGGTATACTGGATGAGAGTTCCCCTTCTGCTTTGGGAACTGCCTGTCTCTCCCAAATTACCAAGTCTCATTGCATACTGCTGGTTATTGACATAGTTTAGTGTTAACTCCACTCAAATTGGGAGAGTTATGCTTGGCGTGGTATTAAAATCATGTCTGTACGTGTAAGCAAGAGTGCATCTCTGAATGTGAATTTGAGGCCTAACATTGTCCTGCATGTGAATATAAAGATACATGATTTTCTGTATTGCTTTATTCCTGCCATCCATATTGAACGTAAGTCCTGTTAAGCCCATAGAAAGTTTGCTTGCGAAGAGAAAAAATGTGGCAGAATTTGGACTACAACAGATGTTCATTTTGTAACTTATGACTTCTAAATTAGAAAATGGATTTTATGTATCACAGCCTATTTGAATACAGATTAGGTTGTTTTCTGTGACATTATTGTGATTTTTTTCCTTTCTTTGTCATAATTTATGGCTACTGTTACTCTTAGGTAAATTATAGTTTTATCCATTAGAAGAAATTAATTAGTTCTGAAGTAGTTTCAGACATACAAATATAAAGGAAATAAATAATATTGCAGCCCTGATTTAAAAGCAACAGTATTCCAGTGAGCTGAAAATTGCTTCACATGCTGGGAGCTGGATTAGTGCTGAGCTCTACTTTGTTCATACAGCTTCTTTTAAAACTGCAAGTCTTACTTACAATGCTTATATTTTAGGTTTTGCACACTGAAATTCTTTTGTAGAAATGCATGTCTTAAGAAACAACTGTTGCCAAATAAGGAGATTCTGCTGTAGTGATGGGTGGAAGAGGTCAGCTTTGCAGTTGGACTAGAGAGTTGTGGTAGGTCCCTTCCAACTGAAATAGTTCTATTCTAGTCTAGTCTAGTCTAGTCTAGTCTAGTCTATATCATGTTCGATTCGATTCAGTTCAGTTCAGTTCTGTATTTCCTACCTGGAGTAGGAAATTATCCCATGGTAGTCACCTGAGTGACTTTTTCAAGTGAGTAGGAGTGAAAAGGAGTAGAGGTTTTGCCTGCATTTTGATAATAGAATCATAGAATGTCCTAGACTGGAAGGGACATTAGAGATCATGTAATCCAACCTCCTTGTCATGGGCAGGGACGCCTCTTAACTAGATCAGGCAACACATGGGGACCAAACGCGGATCTAACCCGCAACCTTGGTGTTATCAGCACCACAATACTTATTGCTTTCCATAACAAATAAAGGATTGGAATGAGTTCGTAAATGTGCAGTCTGTTTCTCCAGCACTAATCCGTTGCCTGTGCATTTGCAGTCACTAGAAATAATCTGGATGCAGTTTGTGCAGTTGTTCTAATCTCATTACCAGTCATAAAGCTATTGCATCTTCTGCTTAGCTCGGTTCTTAGAACTCTGTGCTGAATACTTCTGTTTAATATGCAGCTAAACCGTATTATTTACAGACTGTTGGGTATATGTGTTAGAGTGGAAAGACTTATACATATTCTCTCCCACTCTAGCATGCTGTTTTGGTTGCAAGGGTGTATGCCTCATTACCTCTAATCATTTGTCTCTGATTGGGGCTGTTCATCTTGGAGAACAGACGACTCTGGTCAGACCATGTAGCAATCTTCCAGGATTGAATCGGGGGTACAGGAAAGATGGAGAGTGACTCTTTATCAGGGAGTGTAGTCACAGGACACGGAGTAATTGTTTCAAACTTCAAGGGAGTAGATTTAGATTAGATATTGGGAAGAAATTCTTCACTTTGAAGGTGGTGAGACCGTGGAACAAGTTGCCCCGAGAATTTGCGGATGCTTCCTCCCTACAAAGTGTTCAAGGCCAGGTGGACAGGGCTTTGAGCAAGCTGGTCTAGTGGGAGAGTTGGAACCAGATGATCTCTAAGGTCCCTTCCAACCCAAACCATTCTATGGTTCTATGTAACATGCAAAGTCTGCCAATAAGTAACTCCCACAGAATGTATGGTGGTTGGCCAATTAGCCACCCAGGACACACATTTGTATCTGGTGTACATATGCTTGGTTTCATAACTGTTTGTGAGGATTTCTGTGTTGCAGTCATGGCATGAGAGGAGAGACTACAAAAAGATTTAGGCAAGTGCTCTCCTACCCAAATCCGATCGGTGAAAATTTTTTCATTAGTCTCCACTGAGGTGGGAGATGGCTGATCCCAGCCAGCCGGATTGGCTCAAACAGCCCCATAGCACTGTGCCCACTCTGCTCCCTCTGACAGTCTTCTGAGCCTCGGTAGCCTTCACTGGCTCCCTCAGCTTGTTCACTGGTCACAGTGAAACTCTCACTACCATGAAGTGACATTTTCTGGGTTGTCAGGTCCGCCTTTCCGCAGACAGCCACACCCAGCAAGACTTCATGTCTCTGCCTGATGCAGTTTGAAGGACTTGCTGACTTGTGAGAAAACATGGGCAGCTTGTGGCTGCTAAAAGAAAAAAGGCACATGTGGTCAGCCCATTCAGAGGCTTTGTAAAGCAAGGGTTACCTGTGCTGGTTTTAAGTCATTGCAAAATACTTTATGGTAAAAGCAAATGTATGAAGTCTATTGTTTTAATGGTTATCAAATGACTGTCAATTCTTAAGCTTGCTGAAATGACAAGTAGCAATTGTGATGCAGTTGCCAATATTATCTTTCTTCATGACTTCTGGTAAATTTTAATAGCTAAAAACCAAACCATTTTTAAAATGTACTTCATAGAGATCATAGAAACATCAAGATTGGAAAGGACCTTAAGATCATCAAGTCCAACCTACATCCCTACACCACCCTAACACTAAACCATCTCCTGGAGGGCCACATCCAGCTGTTTTTTAAACATGTCTCGGAATGGTGACTCCACCACCTCCCTCAGCAATCCATTCCAATGCTTCACCACCCTTTCGGTGAAGAAGTTTTTCCCCTGAACCAACTTGAACCCGTTCCCTCTTGTCCTATCGCTATTCACTAGGCAGAAGAGGCCAACACCCGTCTCACTACAGCTGCCTTTCAGGTAGTTGTGGAGAGCAATAAGGTCTCCCCTCAGCCTCCTCTTCTCCAGGCTGAGCGGACCCAGCTCCCTAAGCCTCTCTTCATAAGACTTACTTTGCTATGTAGAGTGCAGAAATGCACAAACATTTTATGCAAGACCTGTCTTACTTTTTAAATTGTTTATTCCCAGCCTGGAGTCCTTCACAGTGCAGTTCAGGGCTCCAAGTAGAGGCAGAGGCAGATTATGCACATAAGAAACACATCACATTTGTGCATATTTCTATTTTTCGAGGTACTGAACTGTGTTTTTTAAAAAGTAGCCTAAAAATACACTTAGGTTGCTAATTCGGAAACCTTGGAGCCAGTGAAGGCAGATAAAGTCCTAAGCAGAGTGTGCCAGAAGAGCCCTACCTAGATGCCTCTCTTTTGTTGTTCCAGTTATTTAGTTACCAGGGCAGATAAGGGACTGTATATTTATAAAAGGGAAAAATATGATCTAAACCCAATTATGTTATTAAAATGCCAGAAACATCCAGAGCCATTGTCTTCAAAGAGCGGTGGGTAAATGTCGATTTGCAGCGAGGAAACTGAGCTTTGCCTGCTTCGTTTGTTTAGTCCCTTAGCAAGAGACTAAATTAAGGTCCTCTCTTTGTTTTAAGTTGTTTCTATTACTTGTGCAGCGTCTCCCATCTTCAGGCTGACACTTGCATTGTCTGTACAAGACGAACATTATCACCATCTCAAATTTCAGTGCGTTGAGTCAGGGGGAGGTAAGATTTGAGTTACTGTGTGTAAGGAGAAAAAAAACCCTATGACCTTAACATACTGGTTGTGTCTTTTTAGGCTCTGAGGAGTTAGGAAGTGGAAGCTATGGGCATCGCTATATCACAGAGACAGTGACTGGTGATGATGATGGATTTGATATTGATGACTCAGACTACGACATTTACATAGAAGAGGTAAATTTCAAGATTTCACTTTGGCATAATAATGTAGTTTCTTTTTCTTTGGTGAGGAAGAGTTTGTTGCCTCAGATCTGTGTTTTGGAAGGTATTAATTTCATTTCCTTGTAGCATTTTTAAGTTTTACCGAATTTGTGTTTCTGTATTTCCTTTCAGCTCAGACCTCTTCCTGCTATCAAAGGAGGCAACAGAAAGTATCTAGTTAAAACTAAAGTCACGCCAGGGTCTAGTTCCAGGCTTCTGTCACGGGTCCTTACAACCACTTTGGAACCCACTACTTCCACTCCGACCACCACAAGGCCTTCAACCACAGCGAGGGCAACTACGGCGTGGTCAGCAAGGAGAGGTGGTACCTCTTCTGCCGCGCGCCTCTTTGATCTCTCCTGTGATGAGGCTGTCTGTTCTGCAGACAGCTTTTGCATCAACGACTATGACCGGGGTGGCTCACGCTGCCACTGCAACTTGGGAAAAGGAGGAGAGACCTGTGCAGAAGGTAGGTTTCTGCATGCCTGCTACCACTGGCTTCTTTTTGTCTGGGACAAGCTGCAGCTTCACAACGAACCAACCAAAGCATGCTTTGGAAATAGCCAGCTGGCCTTCATGGATCCTTAAGGACAGCAGCAGCTTCCATGTCCCAGATCAGACATAGGCCCCTTTAATTCTCTACCCTCAGCTAGGTGCGAAGAAGTTACTCTTTAATAAAGCCAAATGCAGACCCTGTGTAAAGGTGCACAGGGGAGGTTAATCCTTCTTCCCCCACATAAGAGTGGGAGAGTCATGGAGCAAGGTATGTAGATAGGCATCTAGGCCTGACAGGGTCCAGCTATGGCATCTAAAGCTTCCAGCATGGACATTCCACTGCCCTTTGACCCTCATCTTTTGCCTGCAGCTGAAGCCCTGAACCATCCGCATTTCTAGTGTGGTCCACTGAATGATGCTGATCCTACAGCAATGATGTGAGATGGAGCCTCCATTGTAAAACTATCTCCAGAGGATGTTTTCCTCATGGTCTGCAGGGCAGAAGTGCTTTACTGGTAGTTCCAGCACTTGTGTTAGGCAGCCTGGGGCAAGGGAGGAGCAAAATTCCCCTTCCAGTTCAGAAAGCATTGTGTCAAGCCTGAATCAATGTGGGGAGGCATGATTGTCCTAGTCAGGCGTTGCTACATGTCCTCTTGCCTCTCTGCAGGTTGTCTGAACCAGGGCAAGACTTTACTGAGCTGAACAAGACCATCCTACTTTTCCTTCCCATGCCATCTTCCTGTCCTCCCCCTCCGCAGGCCTGACCTCACCCTATCACTGAGTCTGATGTTGAGCTGATCACCTGGTGAGCCAGTCCAGCTGACTTACCAGGCCATAAGCAGATCACTTCAGATTTGGTGACCAGATGAATGCCAGAGCTTATGCAAAGTGTTCAGTTGCTTGTAGTCATGCTGTCCTACCAGCTAAGAAAGAGCTGGACTGTTACTCTGCATGCTTGTCTGATCTGCTAAGGTCTTGCCTCACAGCAGAGCATCAGGGACACATGTTTCTTCTGCAGGCTCATGTTAGACATTTGTGATGTACAGTGTCATGCATTGTGGATACAGATGTTGAGGGTATTTGATCTTCTCCTGGTTCTGGAGTAAAGAAAGCTCATTCAACTCAGCCTTGTGGAACAGCTGCAGATGTGACCTTTGGTCTTGACCAAGTATGAAGAGTCGAGGATTTATCTGAACTAACATATAACTTGTAGAGCAAATTTGTTAACATCAGTCCAAAACCACCATTTTTTACAGGAGAGTGTGTTATTCCTTGGTAAGCAGTAGCATCCTGTACCAATATTCCCTTCTACTGAATTTCTTCACAGCAGCCCATGATGTTAAATAGTATATTAATCTGAATGAAAACAGACTTTTCTTTACTATCAACATCTGTATGGCATTCTGGTCCAGTCAGTTCTGCTTGTGATCAGGGCATGAGTTAATTGCCCTCTGCTGCCTTTGCATTTGGTTTTATACCACTGGTTCACTTCACCTCAGCCTAAGATGTATGCCTTGCAAACAAAAAGCCGAGACAGCTGTATCCAGATGCAAATATGCACAAAAACTCCACTCAATATTCAAATAGCAAAGAGGAATAGGACCCCTCATCCTTCTTTCCTCATTAAACTTAGATCCACTGTAAAAATAAGAATTTGGGCCTGAAGCTATGTCTGTCCACAATGCTCCTTAGGAAAATGAGCTGCAAAGGCAGCAGTAAGACATCTCTCTGAATCTGGATTTCTGTGCTGAAATCGGGAGGGTCCTCTAACATAGGACAACAAAGAGTGAGGATTGATAATGCCAGGTGACAAGAGCATTGTGAAAGACTGCTGTTGCAGCCAGAGGTGGAGAGATGCCTGCAGGAACTCTTTTCTCCCCATCACTCCCTTAAGCTTCTGCTCTGAGCTGACCTGAGGGAAGCAGTGGAAGCTGCTGGGCCCCTATGAGCCAACCAAGGATTCTGCAGATGTTGGATGCTGCAGCTGTGGAGCAGCAGTGACTAAGTGAGGTGTAGAGTCTGGCCACATTTTCTATATATGTTTTTATAATCCTGCAAAACAGAAAATTACTTTGTTGTCTCTGTGTTAAATGAAAATGAAATGTCTCTGTGTTAAATAAAAGGAGATAAATATAAAGTCAGTGGGGTCTGTCTTCTGTAACCAGGAAGAAAATCCGGAGAAATTTCCACTGAAAATTCAGTGACTGAGCAGTATCCTGTTTCTTTCCAAGTTCATCAGGCCCTTGGGAATCAGGAAATTAGTTGTGAAAGGTGGTAGGAGGACAAGGCAATAGGTTAACTGATTGTTGGTTACTGCTGAGTAATAGTTGTCTCTGGAAAAACTCTTCCTTTCATTTTCACCTGATGTTATCTAGTGCAAAATGTGTATATCGATTTTTACGTGGGAGAAAACTGCTAAATAACATGCTTCTGTCTTTGTTTGTCAGATATTATTATCCAGTATCCTCAGTTCTCTGGCTACTCATATATCACCTTTGAACCACTGAAAAACTCCTATCAGACATTTCAAATTACCCTTGAATTCAGGGTAAGTTTAAGCAATTCCAGGCTTGCACAGAAACTTTAAATTTTGTTTACTTTTTCTGATGGTGTGGACAACAGAAAAATTACATATCTTCAGTATAGCTTATAGTAGTTGTAGTGAACCTATACATAACTTTCATCTCTAAAAACCTGGCCTTGCCTTCAGTGAATCCAAATGAAGTTGGTAAACTGAGTCAAAATAATGTGTATCCATTATCGGTAGGCAGTGCAGGAGAGAGTCCCTGGGACTAGTCATGCTGACATTGCAGGCTAGCTGTAATGTATGCTGGCAAGGTGGTGGCCATGTGAATGAGCTACAGGCTGATGTACACCTGGAATTTTTGTGAATTGCAGTTTGAAAGTGACATGTGCATCATCTTGGCATACAAGAAACTGTGGTCTTCTTGTACTGATCAAACCTTTGCTACCTGGCAGTTATTTTCCAACTCAGAAGTTTGGAACACTGGCTACTAATGCATGCAAGATTCTGAACTACTTAAAGTACAATGGGGTAGTGTACATCCCACAGTGAATTACATTAATGCTGTCTGTGTGTTGTGGACAGAGCTGGTAGCGAGGGTGGCTGAGCTCTTGGATGCACCCCTGCTCCCAGGGCAGGCAGACTTGCGAGCTTCACAGCCCAGGTACGAGGCTGTCACTGGAGCAGCATCAGTCTGTTGCCTGTTGTCGTGATCTAACACTCCCCTGGCACTTTGTCAGCTTAAAATGCAGGATGGCTGCAAAAAGACACTATGTCAGCTGCTATGCACATACAGAGAATTCCTGTCTGCACAGGTTGTTCGGCTTGAAAAGTGTCAGTCTCACTGAGCATGTGAAGCAGAGTGTGCATATGAATGTGCAGTAAGTCTGATGTGTCTACACTTAACAGACTTGCTAGGACATCCTTGTTAGACTTTGTGCTCAAAGATCTCATATGGGACGTGTCTGACAGTCTTTAATGCTTTCAGGCTTGTTTTTAAGTCAGATAATATTGTTCTGTAAGTAGAACAGATGTTCTTAAACCATTTGAGCATTAAGGCAATGGTTTCCTAGGTTCTCCAAATTCAGGATTCAAAATTGATCAACCAGTTTCTGATTCTTCAAGTTAAAAACCCCATCTGACAAATGCTGTCCCTTTTCTGGAGAAAAGTTCCCCAGTGAAACTTGCATTTATCTGTCACTGTAAGACTTAGACTTTGATTTTTTTGTGTTTGTTGATACAATGATTGCAGGCTGAATCAGAAGATGGTTTGCTGCTATACTGTGGAGAAAATGAACATGGTCGTGGTGATTTTATGTCATTGGGAATCATCCGACGTAGTGTCCAGTTCAGGTAAAACATCCACCCTAAATCTGATGTAAAGAGAAGAGGCCACTGCTGCCCCCTAGAACTGATATATGTGATGAATATATACCGTGTCTTTGACTTCTGCCCCATGAAGTGCACAAAATAGACAGCTTTACATCTAACAGTTCTTCAGTATTATTTTCTCTTATTCTTCTTTAGTGTGTGGACATGTGCCCTGTTTTACCCTCTTTACTCAGACCGCAGTGTAAACGGAAAAAAATCAATTTTCTTTAAGGCATTAATCTGGAGCTCATTGCTATATTATCAGAAATGCCAGTGAGCCCCTGCATTTGCAAAATTTCTGCTATATCAGATTGTGCATAGTCAATATTTTTGCTTCACAGCAAAAGGACCTGTAGATAATGCAGCAAAATAGAGGATTTAATGACAGCAAGGAGCCTGGAACTTTTATATCTTATGTTGAGATGAGAGTTGCAAGTTTCTTAAATGAGAGTGGAGGGATTTCTTGCAGCCTTGCAGATATGAAGCACATGTAAGACTGTCTTGAGGATCATCTTGCTTGGGAGGATGACTCCTCTGAAAGTGGGGAATAATAAAGTGGGTGACTTGCCTTAGTTGTGTTTCTGTTCACCTGCACTGAACTGCAGTCAGAGAAAATGGCACATTTTGTGCAAATTCAGCTCCACAGAGACTCTCGTGGAGGTCTCCTTGTCAGTCAGTACTGAATTTCATACAGAATCACAAGAGTTATTAATACAGCACTGCCTTTTCACCAGGGAGCTAGAAAAAATCCCGAGAGAAATTACGGTGATAGCAGGAACTCAGACTGTAAAAACCTCCATCCTGAAGCAGTTTCAGCTCTTGGCAAGATTTGCAGTGTACTCGGTATGACCAGAGAATGAAAAATCTCCTCCATGGGACAAAGGCAGAAACTTTGAAACTTAGAACAGATCATATGTAGACCTGTTGTCTCATTTTCCTGTGGTCTCTTAATATGTAGTGTGAAACAGAGAGGTTCTCAGGAGTGAAGGGAATATTTGAAGTCTAAAAATAACTTTCAGTTACTTGGTTAACCTAAGATTGTCACCTTGCCCTCCCAGGTTCAACTGTGGTACTGGAGTTGCAGTCATAACGAGTGAAAACAAAATCAAGCTGGGGAACTGGCACAGCGTCACGTTGTTCAGAGATGGGACGAACGGCTGGCTCAGAATGGACAATGATGCTCCAGTGACAGGAAAATCTCAGGTAGGTAGTCCTGCACCTACAGCTCGTCCTTGGGCTCTCTCAACATGATAATGTCATCTTTTTTCTTGCCAGCAGAAGGCTGGTCAGATTTAAAAGGTACAATTTACTTACCAGTCTTGGGACATTTAATGAACCAGTAACAGTGTACAGATTACTCTTTCACATACATAGTCTAGCAATCACATAAAGAAATTGCCCAGCACTGAATCCCATCACAGTTTCCCTGTTGTCCTCTGTCCTGCTACACTTTGCTAGTCTCAGATACAAACTGTTGCTAAAAGTTTGCCACGTTTTATAGCTGCTGTCCTTGATTACTTTCTTATTAAAACCTTGAAGAGCTGCTTTGTTTTTTCAGCCAGAAAAATTCGATGCCTATGTGTATATCTGTATATAATTATGTATAAGATGCATATAGCTGCACAAGCTTTGTATACAGAAGTGTAATTACATGTATGCCGTGGACAGTGGGGTGTTGGGGATTTTTTGTTGTTTTGTTATTATTCAATGCTAAGCTCCTGCTGGGTTCTGTCCAGAAGGCAGCATCACTTTGGTTTGAGTCCTCCAGCACTCAGACTTTAGAAGACAAACAATTTTGCCAAAAGTAAAGGTAGAAATTGCAGCAAAAGACAGATCACAATCCCTCCTCAGAATGTAGTGCCTTTTAAGTTTTTTATTGTGCTTTTGTAATCTGTGTTATCATGATGGATGTGGGTGCAGAAAGCAATTTAAAAGTGGTAGACTGATTGGAGGGATGACTAATGGAAACCTACATGTTCCTGATACAGTTCTTTGTGGAGAAATAAAAATTGATTATACCTGGTATGGATTAATTAGTTATCTTGTATTATGTCTGTTCTACGTCATGTCATGCTCTGTTCTTCCTTCAGGGCCAATATAGTAAAATTACGTTCCGGACTCCCTTCTACGTTGGCGGTGCCCCCAGTGTGTACTGGCTGGGGGGAGCCACAGGAACAAACCGCGGATTTCAGGGCTGCGTTCAGTCGCTCATCGTCAACGGCAAGATAGTTGATATGAGACCATGGCCATTAGGGAAAGCTCTCAGTGGTGCTGATGTTGGTAAGTGTTAATGGTATGAGGTCTTTAACCATCGATAAACTAGGGGTTGCTTTTCAGCCTGCTGAAAAAATTTGTGCAATAGTCCAGGTTTGAAAGATGGAAGATGCGGTCTCTATTTTTCACATGTTATTTCTCTGTGCCTTTGCACATTGCTTTTTCTGGGTCTGTAGTAAGAGAATTTATCATACTGTGCAAGTAAACATCACTGTTCAGTGTACCAAAACCCAGTGTTGACACAGTTAACCTGCACAATCAACAGTAAAATATATTCTCACAGGCAAACAGGAAACTCAAGTGTTGATGGTATAATTATATACTGTCTATACCAGTATTTCTGCCAGCAGCTCTCAGGATGCTGCTTCTTGCTTCTCACTGACACAGTCATATCATCAGAAATCAATTGTATGTATACTGCGTATGTACTTAAAACACTATAGACCCAACAAAATGTGTTTTCCCTAAAGTCTTTATTGCACTTGTCCAGAGCAACACAGGGATCTTCCAAATGCACAGCAGTGCTGTGGTCATTACAAAGGTCTTTTTTCCATGAAACCTCATTACTGCTGAGGCAAATAGGCTTTCCTGTCAACCATCTGTTATTTTCATTTCCAGAGTCACGGTATGCTGTAAAAATACCATGGAATATATTCTTTCAATAGCCTTATGAAGTGGAATTATAACATTACCTCACCTTCACAGATTAAAAGATGGAGAAGTAGGAAAATTAATTAACTAGTCTTGTCTTATTTATTCATCTCTGTTTGATTACCTGAGGAAAAAAAACACAGGACAACAAAATCCTTGATTTAATGACCTCCCAGTCTAAACAGTTTAAAAGAATACACCCAAGTCAGAAAGTAAGTGGTAAAGGCAGGAAATAGATCCCTTATCACTGAACTCTCTGTGCCATGCTTCAGCCACAAAGTCATCTTTCTTCTCTTCTATAGCTGTGCATTTGGCATCCCAAGAAGGAAGTGGTTAATGAGAGAACTTCTAACAATGGCTCTGTATTCTTATGTGCAGTATAGGGGGAGAACAGAGTGGCTCAAGAAGCAGATGCTGAAAAAAATAAGACTTTGGAAGCAGAGAGCAATTTCACGATAGAGTGAGAATCCACGGAATTTAGATAGATGAAAACCCTGCTGAAGTTCTCCAAGCCCTAATCTTTATTACCTTTTGGATTTCAGCTAACTTTATTCCCGTCCATGAATGCTCCACATACTACTACATTAACAATCAACATCAGTGAAAATAAATGTTAGGTTCTCCCATGTGTGACTTGAAAGTGACTGATAGAGCCATACTGTCCTTATGTGGCTGCACACACTTACATCAAAGCGTACCAGGAGAGACTTGCAAGTAATATGCCATCTAAGTTAAGCTTAAAATAAAAAAAAATGCAAGTGAACTCCGTTAGGGTTTACGGATGGTTTTTGCTAGCCAGTCTTTTGTGTTTTTTTCTGTTAGCCCAGTGTATAAATCAGGTGCTGTGGTAGATGGATCGCAAAATTGAGGGTGGGGAGGAGAGGGGTCTATCTTGCCTCTCTGCCATCTCTGCTGGTGGCAGAAGAAGCCCCACCAGAGTTTGAGCAAGGGGTTAAGGCAGCGGTCATGGTTTGGAGTGGACGTGGTAGGACCCTGTACTCCCGCTGCAGCTTCCCTCCATCCTCGTCTGCTGCTACAGCCAAGCAGATGCAGCGACCACCTGCGGTTCCCTTTTTTAGTGCAGTCACCTGTGCTGACCCAAAAGCTGTCATAAGTCACCGAGACATCGTGAAAGCAGACTGTTCTTAAATACCAAACACTATTCCAGCTCAAGTTGTCCAGGGACTTGTGTATTTTGCTTATGCTCCTTGGGTTTGCCCTGGAGCCCTATGTTATGACTGCTGTAGTGAGACATTCCCTCGCTACAGGGAAAAATGATCCTGGCAGAAGATTTGTAGGTGGGCAATACAAGACAAGTCTGGTCTGGCAGGGACTTGGACCAGATGACCCAAGAGTTACTACTGCTTCTATCCTGAGTCGGTGAGAGAAGGTTGTTTTCCACCATGGACTACAGTGATTGGGATGAACCAGCACATCAGACATTTATGTCTGCATGCTTCTCCATGGTTTTCCTTCTGGCTATGAGGTGGGAGATCAAACTGTAAAGCTGGCATTATACTACCACCAGTACCTTACGGAAGATTTGTAGAGTCCTGGCCTGGAAACTGTCTTTACAATCTGAGTGCAGCACCTGGACAAAACAAAAAGGACATATACCCTTCCTCCAGTAGTTTTGCAAGACTTAAGTCATCTCAGGTAGCAGAACTGTTCTCCAGTGTTTATTGTCAGAGCTGCCTCATGACACCTGTGTCATCTCAGAGGTGGTATTTCAATATGCCTCAAAATAAATGTGTGATTTGTAGCTTATCATAAACACTTTACTCCTCCGTATGATGTGCTTACACTTGTACACCCCAAATGTCTTTTAAGGCTTTCTTAATGTGTAAGATCAATTTGTTACTGTCAATAAGGAGAGAAGGATTTAGTCAGAAACTAAAATGAAGAAAGTAAACAAAATCAATAAGGATTTACATCAGATGGGCTTTTGACCATTGGATAATCTAACTTCATAGATATCAGGTTGAGGAAGTAAAGGAGTAAATTACCTGTCCTGCAACAATTTCAGCTTAATTTCGTCAAGAAGAAGTCATGTCTTTGTTATTTTAGATGATGTGCCAACATAGTAGAAATGCTTCCTAAAAAGTCCATATGCTAATGGTACACATCCCTTCTAGTGCAGACAAGAGGGCTGACAATCTCATTTTAGTTAATAAGATAAGATGGTGATAATTAACACCTTCCCTGCTTACCATGACATGAATTTGCAGTGAACAAAGAATCACTTAAAGTAATTGAAATTAAACAAGACACAGTGCTTGTAAACAATCTACAGAGATATTTATTTTATGAGAAAATGAGAAAAAGTGCAGAAGAAATGTAATCCAAGGAATGATTAAAAGCTGCAACTGTCATGGTTTGTTAGAAAACGCTAATTTCTGCTATTTTTAAGGTCTCTTCCTGGTCTGATACTATGAAAAATTGGTAAATATCAAGTTACCTTGTCTAAATTGCACACTATTTGACAAATGGGAAAAGAATCCTGGCAGAAGAGCAGATTGTATTGGTTAGTATTAATTATCAACAGACAAGTAAATCTTACTTAAGAAACTTCTCTGACAAATCAATGTTCTTGGCTCTGTGTGTAGGTGAGTGTAGCAGTGGCATCTGTGACGAGGCATCCTGCATCAACAGTGGTACCTGTACTGCAAACAAAGCAGATTCATACATTTGCCTTTGCCCACTTGGATTTAAAGGTCATCATTGCGAAGAAGGTGAGAGGATGCTGGACTGCCTATATTTCTTTGTATGTGTCATTTAATGTTCACTGTGTTTTCTGCATTGTGACATCCAAGGAGGTCTTGTGCTATTACACTGCCAGAAAAGAATACTTTTAACATCATGTTTTTTAAAATCACATAGTGGAGTCCTCCCCTACCATTCACTCTAGAGCTACATCCAGGTCCTACATAATCAGTGCTTCTCAAGCCTCTTTGCTTATTTAAACTATCAGAAAGCATCTCAAACTTAATTTTCAGAAGTTAAAAATGTACTACTCCACAGCTGCACATTAACTTTAGAAAAACAACAGCACTTTTCTCCTAAAACCATTGTCAGTTGCATATGTTGAAATATAAAGGACCCGATATCAATCTACTGATGAAATTACAGAGATGCAAACACACAGTCAAACACATACAGCATTATTTTCTGAGCTGCAGAACTCTTCATGCCACCACCTATTGTGTTCATGCTTGCTACTTTGAAAAATGCTATGGTGAGTCGAAGATAATTTTTTGATGCAAATGGTGAATGAACCAAAGAGGAGAGGAGCACTGCTGGACCTTGTGCTCACCAACAAGGAAGGTCTGGCTGAAGCAGTGAACGTTGAGGGCAATCTTGGCTGCAGGGACCATGAGGTGGTAAAGTTCAGGATCTTGTGCGGTAGAAACAAAATACCAAGCAGGATCGCAACCCTGGGCTTCAGCAGGGCCAACTTTAGTCTTTTCAAGCAATTGCTAGGGGAAACCCCATGGGACAGGGAACTGGAAGGTAAAGGGGCCCAAGAGAGTTGATCAGTATTCGAGGACCACTTCTTCCATGCTCAGGATCAGTGCATCCAACAGGTAGGAAATCAAGAAAGAGCTCCAGGAGACCTGCATGGTTAAACAGGGATCTGCTGGGCAGACTCAGGTGGAAAGGGAGGGAATATAAATTGTGGAAGGAAGGGCTGGCCACTTGGGTGGAGTATAGGACTGCTGTCAGAGAGTGTAGGGAGGCAATCAAAAAAGCTAAGGCCTACTTGGAATTAAAACTTGTGAGGAAGGTCAAGGACAACAGAAAGGGCTTCTTCAAATACATTGCAGACAAAACTAACACTAAAGGCAATGTAGGCCCTCTGGTGAGTGAGGTGGGTGCCCTGGAGGCAGAGGATAGAAAGAAGGCAGAGTTACTGAATGCCTTCTTTGCCTCTATCTACATTGTTAGAGGCTGCCCTCAGGTACCTCAGTCACCTGAGGCCCCAGAGGAAGTCAGGATAAAGGAGGAGTTTGCCCTGGTTGAGGAGGACTGGGTCAGGGATCAGTTTGAACTCTTGAACATCTTAAATCCGTGGGCCCTGTTGGGATGCACCCATGGGTGCTGAGGGAGCTGGAGGAAGTCATTGCTAGGCCACTCTCCATCATCTTTGGTAAGTTGTGGGGAACAGGAGAGGTGCCTGAAGACTGGAGGAAAGC